ATGGCCCACATGCATCTTGAACCGTGGGACTTGCTCACCAATTCCAACGTTCAAGTTCCAACACCATGCCATGAGAATATTTAGCTATGCATCTCATGTTGTGAGCCTGGAGGTAGAGCGGGAGGGTAGATCGATTGTATTCATTGTCATTCCCGGGCGGCCCTTTTCCTCAGTGGCCCTGGGAGAGTATAGCGGAGGCTTACTTCGGTATCTACTAAGATTTTGCTGCACAGCATTATATCGTGCATGAGCAAATTGACTTGTGCTGGGATTTTAGGTACACAAGTCAATTTGGTGCCTGCGCAAGCCAACATGTGCACCCACAAGTAACGTTAGTGGCTTTCCCCGCACGGATGTCAAGTTAGCGTGAAATGAACTGCATGAAACTCGTGAATACAAACACCAGACATTGTTGTGCTATTCGGTCCAGGTCCAGGACAATCTCAATTGATTGGACCACATATGGTGAATGTAATTCAAGTGAGATATATACACTTTCAAGCCGTCCGCAAATATATATATATTACTTTGCTCGCCGACAACGACAGCGAAGACGACATCAGTGTTGGTGATGATACCATCAAACTTGCCGACCGCTGCCAAGGATAGTCCCGAGCACGTCCAAGTAAGTTGGGGGTGTCTTGGCAGGCTGGGGATGAGTCCTATGATGTGTCTGTATGGTGGGGAGAGTGAGTGTAAAAGGGCACAAGCACAAGTCAACGCCCGCACAAGTTACACAAGTCAACCCAGCCAAATTCAAACTTCGCTTGGTGCGCAAGTCAATTTGCCGAGTCGATCGGGTAAGCCTCGGTCGGGAGCGGTGCAAGATTGGAAAATTGCGTCACCGATACGGGTGAGAAGGACAGTTCGTAATTCAGAGCGCTCGGATAGGAAACACTATACCTGTGCTCGAGGCGAAGCCCGTAATGATGGTCGCTGGATTAGTGAATGTTGTGTCGGGAGGGTACGAATCGCAAGCGACGCATCTCTTTCCCTCTTCAAGCCAGAGAAACCAGCCGCCTCCTCGCCCCTGCACTTTTAGCCTGACCACTTGGTGTGAGATTGGTGATGGGCGAAGGCTCCTCCAAAGAAGCGGCTGGAACTCACGGAGGAGGCCCGGAGGAGGATGCTACTGCAGAAAACGAGAATAGCATAAATGAATATAATGAGTGCCGGTGGCTGTCTATCCAACCAGTCGGATCGCCGGACAGATAGCGGTCTGTCGAAAAGATGAGCAAATGCACCCAGAGCCCCAGCAGGAGCAGGCTGGCCACGAGTGAAACACCGGAAAATATAATGGCCCTCATAATTGCGTCCTCATAGCTGTCTGTTCGAACGCGTGCTCGCGACCGTTGACACCGCGACCCAACCTCGCAGCCCAAAAACCGCCTAGCGGGAAGTAAATATCCCCCGTTCTCTTATAATTCGGCCGGTCCTTCACTCTTCTCTATTGCTCGCGAATCACGACTCAGCCAGTATTCTCGTACCCTCAATATCTCATCTTGGATACACGGATGCGAGTGTACACAAAAATCTAGTGAACACAGAGGACACTGAAGCGTAGGTATCAAGCGGGCGTGGTCGACCACCTCAGTTGATAGGATCAATCTTATCCTTGTCTCGGGAGGGAGATAGGATTATCGTAACCTACTATTACAGGCTTGTAATTACTTATATATGAGTCTGCCCATCCTATCTCAAACCCAACTCATATCCTAAGGTCAGAAGAAGAGGCTAGAAATTCGACGAGTCCGACGAACCAGTTTGGATGAGATATAGGATAAATAATCCTATCCATCTTGCACAGGTGGGGAGAGACTTTACAAGTGTGGGATGGAGCCTGGAGGGTGGCTCAGCGGCTGGACGAAATAGGATACGATAGGATAGACACAGGATCAGATAAAAAATCTGATCCATGTTGGTGACGAGAAGGCGTAAAAGGTGGTGAGCTCGGAGTGAAGAGTGTGGGATGCAGGATGGGATGGGATAGAATGGGATAAGATAAGCTAGGATAGGATAGGATAGGATAGAAGAGAATCAAATTGGATAGGATGAGATAGATAGGTTAAAATTATAAGATTGGACCGTCGCACAGCAGGACAGGATGGCTTCGGGAAGCCCCGAATCCAGTTGTTACCACCGTGAACTCGCCAAAGACGTAGCACAGAATTCGACCACTTACCTTTCAGCTTTACGGAACCGTAAGATGGTCAAATCCTCGTTGTCCGAATCGTGAGGCAGAGTGTGCCCCGGCGCTACATCTTGCGCCCTCGGGTGACCCGCCACTAGAGGTCGAGGATGAGCAGGTACACGATGCGTCCACTGTAATCATGCTCACCAGCTCAAAGAACGGCCGTCTTGTGCCACTGACCCGCGTACCGTACACAGGGGTTTACCGAAGAGCACCACAGAACAACCACAGAAGCAAATTCGATGTGGACAAGTTGAAAGAGAGCCTGAACCAAGGGGCTCCGGGCCGGTCAAGCCGGGACAAAGGGCAGGTAGGTAGGTTCGGCTGCCAGGCTGGAAAAAAAAAATATGGACCTCTCAGTCAAGAGGTCGGATACTGGTCAAAATGTGTTCAGAGCCATATTATGTGCATTCTCTACTTGTTCTGAACCTCAAATGAGTGTTACCGCTTTAAATCAAGTGCGGGCAGTGTTGTACCAGGTCGGGCTCAGCTTTTTGACGACCCGTGACCCGGGCTTGGGTTGGATGGAGTACAAGCAAGCCAGTCCCAGTCTTACATACTGTTCTGGAAGTCACAGAATAAATCACTCATTCTTACAACACATTCTTACCTTCAATTCACGCTGGTCGGTGGCGAGAGGAAGAGCAAGCCCTGTCAAACCTGAAATTCAACACATTCCAAGTCAATGAAGTCCTTGAGAAGCCTTGAATTACCTATAGATGATGTAAAGGTCGAATGCAAGTTGAACGAGATGCTTTTGCAGGATGGTAGAACCAAAGGTACAACTTGTGAACGCAAATTGATGAACTTCTAGACCGGCCGACGTGGGAACATTACCCGATATGGGTGTCACGTGGTAGGTAGGTCCGCCGAGAAGGTCAAAACAAAAAATTACGGCCCAAGTGGGTTTTTTGACAGATCCAAATCCCCTTGGCCTGAACCCAATTGAGAGCGAAGCAAATTCGAAGTCTCGGAGCTCTGGGCAAGGTGTGCTCGGGGCAGCGGCTGCGAGCGATGGTGGTCAAGAGGTGCTTTGTTGTTTACAGATGGCAGTCATTTGTTCGTGTTGACGCGTCAGAAACAACGTGATTTGATGCCACGCTTTGACCTTGGCTTTGACCTGATTGCTCGCCGCTGGGAAGCAGTTTTTATTGTTCATGACTTTGATGTTACCTAACATGGTACATGCGTGTCCTCTGTCCATGGCTTCTCCCTTTACCCACATTGGAGTACTTATTCAATCCCCGCGCTCATGGCTCCCTACTACCGGAGTCCAGCTCCCGGCTCCAAGGCATTCGTTCGGCTTTCCCAACGAAAAGAGGTGCATCACTTTCAATGTCACAATCTCTACCTGTGGTGATTACAAGCGTGTCGATCAATGCCTCCGCCGTTCTGTCTACTGTCTAGGATCTCAGTCGTGCGCCATCCGGCGTGCCACGGGTTCTTCTTCTCCGCCCCCAACGGAATCACTAGCTGAGGTGCAGAGACTCAGCGTGCTCCCAGAATCACACCCTGCACCTTTGACTCCCCAGTTCTCGGCACGTTTTCCCTGTATGCCCGTCACCAGGTTGATGTGCGCTCGAAAAGGTTCGTTTATTTGTCACGTCTCCTAACAGCTCATATTCAAGCTCCCTTGCTAGACCCTCCGCAACGGTTCAATACGCATCGGCCGCTCCTGAAATTTGGATTTTATGTCTACCCTGTGGGCCACACTCAGTCATGCACGATATTCCCAGTACTTCGCATAGCCTGCAATTTTAATTCAACTTTCGGAGTTTCCGCTGTGTCCACGTTTGGACGTACTATAGGTTTGTATTTTAATCCGATGTATTCATCCTCTCATTCCATGACCCTCGCCACGCTTCTGAACATGTCGGCGACTATGTACTCTTGAACTGTGCCACCCGCACGCCCTCCCGCGACTCCCGGACACGGATTTCATTTTTGCCGAGCATCATTACCTGTTTGTGGTTACGCATTGCTTGCTTTCATCCTTCTTCTCGTACTCATTATGTTGCCAGATTTTCTGCTATGCTCCGCCCACGGGCTACTGTTGCTACGATGTCCTAATTCGCAGCACCGGCTCGACGCGCCCGGGCCCGTGCGCCGTACGTCAGCGTCGCGCTGCCCTGGAATTTTGGACTTTCCGAGCGTGGGTATGTTGATCTATATCCAAGCTACTTTACGCTAATCCTTTCAATGAGTGCAATTGGTATAATGTTCCTAGCGTGCTCGGAGTGCCGCTGCGCGACGAGTGTAGGGGCGATAACCGACGCGAGAATGTAAACATCCGGTGTCAGGATATCTTCGGATGTTATCCGATACGATCCGAATCCTATCTCATCCGATCCTACCTCAAACTGGATAGGTTAGGATAGGATAGGATACAATGCAGTCGTGTTCAAATTGTGTCTTCTGGGAGCATATCATGTAGTAATGAAAGTAAGATGGCTAGGCAACCGACTTACCTAGGCTAGGATCGATCCTATCTCCCTCCCGAAGGGAGGTTAGGATTGATCCTAACGGCGTCAGCCATTGGCGTGGTGTACGGTGCACAGCCGCTCCCGTTTTCAGAAAAATCCACTATGCTTCAGTGGCAGACCCGGGTTCAACTCCCGGCGCCCGCTTACGCAGAATTGGCGAAAGCGTTCTTTTCACTCCTTCCCTCCTCGCCTCACGTCCTGGGGCTCGCGAATCGCGATTTAGCCAGTATTCTTGTACCCTCAATCTCTCCTCTTCCTGGATATACGCATGCGATTAAACACAAAAAATCTAGTGAACACAGAGGATACTGAAGCATAGGTATCAAGCGGGTGTGGTGTACGGTGCACAGCCGCTCCCGCTTTTAGAAAAACCGAGGATGCTTCAGTGGCAGACCCGGGTTCGACTCCCGGCGCCCGCGTTCATACTATTCCATCAACTTTTTCCTCGTCGCACGCTCTCGGTTTGGTGCAGCATAACGGGGGCGCAGAGAGTCCGTCGCTGGTCAGGGCTGTCTGAGCTCGTTCGATGTTCTCCTAGTTGTCTGACCTCTGACATGTCAGCCTTCAACCGTGACGAAGGCAAAATTCCAAGCGAGTCACCAGCAGACCAGAAGTCAAAATCTCAACATCGGCGGGCTTGAAAGATGTAGGTAGCAAGCGGGTGTGGTGTGCGGTGCACAGTTGCTTCATTTCGTCCAGGTGCAGAGAGAAAGTCAAGCAACAGACCCGAGTTCGACTCCCGGCGCCCAATAATCTCGACCTCTTGTTTTTTGTTTTGGTCTCCCTGAGTCACACTCTGTAAGCTGTGTTGTAGGTCAAGAGTTCAGGGTACTGCGACAGTTCTTTTCAGACTGAAGAGATCGGCGCAGGCTTCCGAAATATACATGACCAAACACGATCGTCCCAATCGGGACTGGATGGCGAGGTCAATACAACAAGCTGCGCGGGATTCGAGAGATGCGCGGATGCGAGCGGTAGCTCACTTGAATCCGCCAAAGGAAATTCCCTTTTTTGATGCGGATCAGATGCGGTAACGCATCATGATCCGCGATGCGGGCAGGTGGCTGTGTCCATTTTGTAGTTCAACTTCTTGTTCCATTGTGCAGCCGCCGTTCAGATGGTCGGGTGGAAATCCCGCTCCTCTGGCTGTAAGTCCTGGCCACCAACGCATCCGCAGGATTCCTGTGCATTCGGAATGCGTGTTTCATGTCCCACGTGGACCCACCCGCGGATCTGCTTCCGGGGCCTGATGATCAGCACTAATCTTAACGGGGTTGATCTCGACGCCCGGCTTTTCTCCACCCACCCTCATGCCGCTCGCCCTCCCCCCGCTCCTCCTCGCCCTCGTCCTCGCGCTCCTTTCCCTCCCCGCCGCCCACGCCGCCGAAACCAATGTGACGATCGACGACTCGAACGGCGCGTACTTCAGCTGGACGGAGGACACGGGGACGCCGCGCCCGACGCTGCCGTGGGCGGCGATAACGCCCGCCACTCCGTGCGCGTATTGTTCGGCGCAGCCGCAGACGGGCGACATCGAGAACAAGACGTGGCACGACGGGACGAATAATAGTGCGGGGGCATTGACGTTCCAGGGTGCGTCTGTCTCCAAATTCGCTTCCGCACCCGGTGGATTTACCCGACGCAGGCGCGGCGGTGTACCTCTACGGCATCGACCTCGCGAACCCCGCGAACATCTCCTTCGCGCTCGACGGCGCGCCCGCGGGGTTCCACCACTACGACGGCGCGGCGCAGTTCGTCTTCCGCGCGCTCTTCTTCGCGCAACAGAATCTCGATGCGACTGTGAATCACACGCTGGCGTGGGTGTTGCATGCGACGGCGACCAACGGGACGGTGGGGCTGATCGACTACGCGGTGGTCACGCTGGATGCGGGGGGGAGTGCTTCGTGCGTTGTACTTGTACCATCCTCGCGCGCGTCGTTCACTTACATTATTCGATGGAAGGAGCAGCGCCTCGAACCCCGCTTCCACCGGCACTTCGTGCGTTCCCAACCGGCTACCTCCCATCTCCAACCCATACTAACACTTAGGCTCTCTAGCTCTCCATCAACTTCGAAAAAAAAATCCCCCGCCGGGCCGATCGCAGGCGGCGTCATCGGCGGCCTCGCGCTCGTCCTCCTCATCACCGCCGCCGTGTTCTTCTGCACGCGAAGGCGGCGCCGCGACGCTTCGAACCCGCTGGACGCGCGGCCGTTCGCCGGTGTGCCGGCTATGAGCGAGGCTGGAGGAGCGAGGGCAGGGGGCGAGAAAACGCGTGCGTGTGGTACTCGCTCTGAGTTGAGTACACATACTGACGGGCGGTCCCTGCAGTTGACGTATCGTGGACGCACCCCGCCCCCGCCCCCGCACCATCGAGCGTCGCGCCGCCGTCCGAGTCCCCGCCCTCCAGCGCGGTGCCGCCCTCGAGCGTATCGGCCGCGCCGCCCACGGTGTCGAGCCTCCCCGCATCTCAGGCGCAGCTGTCGAGTCCCCCCGTAACCGAGACGCAGACGGCCCCCCTCTCCTCCGGCGCCGCGAGCACGTCGCCTCCCTCCGCCCCGAGCGTCTCCGAGCGCGAGCGCGCGCTGGAGGAGCGCCTCGCGCACCTCGAGGCGCAGGTCCTCGCCGTCGCGCCGCCCGCGTACGACCACGCGCGCGCGCCGCCATAGGCGCGATAATCGCGGTACGGAGGCCGCGCTATCCGTAGAAGCGTGTATCATCAATACAGATAGGTTAGGTTAGGTATTATATCCAACACGTGTAATCGGGTCCTGCATAATTCGAACTTGGTGGACAGTACATCCGTGCACCCCCGCGCCAGACCTGCGCCCTGGCTGGTTATGTTGCGCGCACCGTGGCTTCGCGCAGCGCGGCTTCACGTTGACACGGGCGGTACAGTGGGGTGAGTTCGACAAAAAGGGACCCAACTGGGCTTTATGGCGACGCCGGGAGTCGAACCCGAGTCTGCTGCCCAAGGCTTCTTATTGAAAGAGAAAGTGAGGCAGCTGTACCGTGCACCACGCCCGCTGTATACCTACGATTTGATCCCCCTTAGGTCGGGCGCCAGGGCTGGGCCTTGAGCTTGCAAAACTGAACTCTGAGCGCGCTGGAATAGACGATGACTGATGCTGCGTCGCGTCGCTTGGATTCTGACTCACTTTCGCTGGAATTCGTGCTCGTTTTATCTCGGGGCCAAGGCACCTCTGAACGCCGGAGTCCTAGTCTAAGCCACGAAAGAAAAATCGGCATCGGTTCACAGCCCTGCGCTCCTCTCGCGCGAACTTCAGTACCAGGCAAAAAAGAATGTTTGCGCTATTCGTACGCGGACGCCGGGAGTCGAACCCGGGTCTGCCGCTCCAGAATGAAAGATGGGACCAACACCCGAGGCGGTTGTGTACCGTACACCACGCCCGCTTATTCCCTACAACTTACTCGGGGCCAAGGCACCTCTTACCACCCCAAACCACTTCTTGAAAGGGAAAGAAAAATCCCCATCGGTCCACAGCCCTGCGCTCTTCCCAGGCGAACTTCAGCACCAACGAGTGCCAACAAACAAAAAAAAAACAAGAGTTATTCGTGCTTTGGTATGTGGACGCCGGGAGTCGAACCCGGGTCGACCGCTCGAGAGTGAAATGTGCAACGAGTACCCGAAGCAGTTGTGTACCGTACACCACGCCCGCTTGATACCCTGCATTCATAGCTCTCTAGGTTGAATAGATCTCAATCGGGGGCGTAAGGGTTAACTCCGAGTGCGGGGAAGGACGATGCTGGGTTGAATTCAATCGCGCGCCATTCTGACGGCACGGAAGTTGACGTCCATCCTTTCACTTCGACTTATGTTCTCCCAGTCCGCATGATCACCTTTTTTCCATTGGCATCTTTCCCTGACGGCACGGATCGTTTAGCGGACTCTGAGCACACTGAAAAATGTGGTGATAGTGAGTTGGGTTGCCCATTACTGTACCTTATTCAATTTGTAATCAATGTATCAGCGGCCTGGGGCTCAACCCACCTCGATCGGCCAGCGGAAAAAGATTAAAAGGAGTTGCGCAAGCCCAATGTAGATTGGTGAGGAGGGGAGGATGACGAGCTGCCTTGAGCGCGGTCCTGTTGCATTTACAGGGTGTCAACCCATGTGAATGGACAAATTTTGAAGCAAATTCCACAATCGCTCATGCGGGCGCGGGGAGTCGAACCTGGTCATGTGGAAAGGCGTCAGCAGAGGCAGCTGTACCGCACACAACCCCCGCTTACCGCACGAAATTTAATCCCCTTCACGTTATATTGATTTTGCTCGAGGTTTGTCGCTTAACGTGCGATTCCCGCGCGGGGTGTACAATATACAATACGGCGAGTGTCAGTCGGTTACGATGGAGTTAGACATGAATATTGTGCCGCAACCAGAGTTCCAGACTCCCCGAGACATAGAATGTGTAACCCAGACCAACAAAAAAGAAAAGACAATGGAAACACCCATCCACGCGGGCGCCGGGAATCGAACCCGGATCAGCAGCATGATCGTTACTGTAAAGTGCCAGCTACGGCAGCTGTGTACCGTACACCACGCCCGCTTGATACCCAGCATTCATAGCTCTCCAGGTTGAATGGATTTCAATCGAGGGCGTGATGGTTTACTCCGAGTGCGGTGAAGTATGCTGCTGGGTTGAATTCAGCCGCGCGCAGTTCTTGATAATTGATCTGGGGCAAATGCACTTTGCACCGCGCGGCTTCACGCTGACACGGGCGGTACAGCGAGTTGAAGGCTGACAGAATTTGGAACACAGCTAAGCCTCGCCGGATGCCTTTCAGCCTGTCCGCTTCGTCAAAAAAATAGTCGACGTGATATCCGTGCGGGTCGTGCTGCTACTGGGGCAATCTCATGGGTGATCGCCGCACGCCCCCTTGTTGCATTCATTGTATGATACTGCGACTGTGCGGCACGGGATGGCACCATCGGGTTGTAATGCGATATGCGACGACTCCGATGGTGCGATTGAAGTGTGAAGAGGAGGTGCGGTTTAAGGTGCAGTGGGTTCGCCATACGGAGACTGCATCGACGTATGTGGCATATATGCACCTGGGGTCGCTCCCCGGGCTGTATTCATTCGGATTCCAATCCTGAAACGCCATTGACCGATTTCTAGAAGGTAGCAAGTACTCAGATTGCTCCTAAATGTCCGCTCATCGCGGTCATCCTAGGCAACTCCGGCTACGTCTTGCAATGCCAGTGTTGAGGAACCCGGGATTACGAAAGAATGATATCAAGCCGCCCGCTTAAGATAATAATCTTACAGCATGCCCTGTATCGTCAGACCGCCGATGTGGGCTTTTTAAGCAACGTTTTGGCAAAACCATTGAAATTTATACATTTCGTCAGCGTCGAATGTATTTGCACCTTCGAATATATCTTGGAATATATACAGAGTCTCGGTCATCGTCGGATGTTCAAGTTTTCATCTCGATAGCCGTCGGATCTTCTGGGCAAGCACTGGTTCCAAAGTGTGATACAAAATCACGACGCAAAACACTGGCCAAGTTCGTCATTGCCCTTCGAGTAGGATAAAGTGTAGACAATGGCCGGAAGACGAAACCCCACCCTGCCACATCGGGCCGAGTTGATGCCGATCACTACATACAAGGCCAAGCAACCTGCCGCGCTCGGCAGCGAGGCACTTGCTTCCATCACTTCACTATACGCAGACCGAGCATGCCCACTTGCACTGGCGTCATGTCTGACCCTTCCTCCCAGTTTCTCTGCCACTCCAAGCCGAACGATCCGGGGGCGGATCCGCATGGTCGGCGAAAATGGGCAGCTTTTTTTGCCAGCCTCCAGGTCACTCCGGGCAGATTCGTATCGCCTTCCGTATAAAGATCTACGCAATGTCTCCTCTTGTCTGGAAATTCTCTCATCCCACGCAAGCCCTCGACTTCCAGGAACTCATCTCCAAGCTACGACCTCTAGCATCTATCCGGGCTGATTCGTATCGTACTCGATGATGATCCTCTGCGGCTGCAACCGGGTTCTTCCCGTCTCTCTTATTGGCCTACGGATGTCTCAACGCATCTCGGCATGCCGCGTATTCTCGGGATGCCCACGGGCTGCATCAGGCTGCATCCGCATCTGTGCCTGTCGATTTTTCCCTTTCTCGGAACCTTGGAGACACCCATCTACCCTGAGCTCACTCCCGACTGCCATCAGCTATCTTCGGCGGACGGTCTTCCCAACGGTGGTCCGACCTCCAGCCGAATAATTCTGAGCCTGGACGGAACGCTCGCTTGCGCATTCAAGTGTTCGGCTGATAGGTTGGCCGATAGCTGCGGGCATACGTATATGCAGTCTCCGCGGGAGGCATCATCAGAGAAGTTGACGTAGCGAAGAAATGAGCCGGGATCTGGGTGCGGTGCACACGTGTTCACCCACTATTTTTTCGCTGGTTCTCACTGCGTTTAGGCCGGGCCTAGACTTCTTCCGTGTTTAGGCGCCTACGCCGATTTCGGCAGGCCTAGCCGGGCACGTGTGTCTAGGTCACATAGTCATCGCGTGACTAGGCCTGTTTAGGCCGGCAGACACCGGTGCCCCATACATTGTGGACGTCAGAAAAGAGAGAGCGGCGCCATTCGGGCGCCATTGACGGTGCGGAGACAGCGCATAAAGGTTAGGATACGATGACAATTTATTTGCCGTGTAAAAGCAATGTAAAAGCAGTGCAAAGATCACCATCGCAACAAGCTAATTATAAAGTGGAGTAAAGTCAAGGCCAAGGTCAAGCTTCGAGCGAGCCTGAGACAGACATGTGGCTAGGGAGCGAAGCTGAGCTAGGCGACACAGACAAGGTGACCTCAGCACAGCTACTTCGCGCTCAGCAACGCCGTGCCTAAGCGGTGGCTATGTGGCCTAGACAGGCGTGATCTGGACCCCTAGACACAAATAGACACACATAGCACCGCCTAGTTCGCGCTCGATCACTCCATGTTTAGACCGGGCCTTAACGCAGTGTCTGGTGGCGTCCCGCAGGATCACCGTATGGAGCCGCCTTAAGGCCCCGCTTATAAGACCCGGTTGATGGAGTGAGCGTACTCAATCGCCTCGCGTCCCCCCTACAACTCTCCCAAACTGATGTCTCAATATGCCCAGCTCTCCACCCCCGACCCCGAGCTCCTGGAGATCCTCTCAAAACTTCCCCCCTTGGAACCATCTGGCCCAATGGATGTGGAGATCCAGCGCAATTTCATGACCAACGTGGCCGTGCCCAGAATTCAGGAAGGCCACCGCCCTCACCTCCCACCCGGTACGTGCGCATTCGCGTACTCTGCGCAACGTTGCTCATCTACTCCCCAGCGGCTGCGTATAGCGTCTCGAACCGCACCGTCCGCGTGGAGGGTGGTGAAATCCCAATCCGCTGTATCCAGCCCGTCCCGCGGGAAGGTGAAAATGGCGGCTTCCCCATCTTGGTCTGGTTGCACGGTGGAGGTACGAATTGGAGCATATCCGTTTGGGCTGTTCCTGACAGTAGTTCTCCAGGATGGGTCTTAGGCAACCTCGACATGGACGATTTCTACCTCCGCAGGATCAGTGTCGATTTTAGGCTTTCGATAGTCAATGTTGACTACAGGTAAGCATCTCCATCCCATGTCCATGCGGCGTCGCACACCCATCATCTCCCACCGTAGACTCGCGCCGGAACACCGCTTCCCAATCGGCTTGAACGATTCTTATACCGCCTTGAAATGGGTGTGTCACGTCCTCCCTTCCCATCGAACTCTCTGCTCATGGAGCGGTATCGCTCCAACTATAGGCCGCTGAGCACGCCACTGAGATCTCAGGCTCCATGACTAAAGGCTTTCTCCTCGGCGGAGTCTCTGCAGGCGCTCACTATTCGGCAATTCTTGCCCATCGCGCGCGCGATGATCCATTCTTCAGCGGACGCCCGCTTACGGGCCAGATTCTTCAAATTCCAGCCCTTCTACACCCGGCCGCGGCGTGCCCCGAGGAGTACACACCATTGGTTCTCTACCTCTGCGCATATTGATTGGCCGTAGATTCAAAGCGGAGTTGCTGTCGTTGGAACAAAATAAGGATGCGCCCATTCTATCGACGGCTAACGTCGAATTCTTCTACGGTGGGCCATGCTCGTCCCTCGTGCTAACACCGTGCTCATTCGATTGTTGGCATATGTAGATTGCCTTCAAGCTTCGCAGTCCGATCCCGAAATCTCGCCCCTCCTTCTCTCGCACGCGAACCTCCCGGCGGCGTACATCCAAGTGGCAGGCTTCGATCCGCTGCGCGACGAGGGCCTTTTGTATGAAAGGCTCCTTCGCGAGAGTGCTGTCAGAACGAAACTCGATATGTGCGTCCCACAATGCCGCCTGTCAGGATTTGATTCAAGTCTAATGCGGTCCGGGAAGATATCCAG